AACACTTCTAAAAAACAAGAGGGGTTTCTATAGACATTATATAACTGCAGCAGCACATTGGAAACACTGGCCTACTTTTCTCCACACAGTGACCTGCTCTACAGTAGCAGAGAGGGAGGCGGCGGGGAGGAGGAGTGGGGGAGGACTCTGCTCTCCCAATGCAGCATGGCGGGAGGAGCCGAGAGAGGAAAGAGGCAGGAGCTCTCACTCTGAGCCTCTCAGGATGTCACAAATGTCTCCATAAAAAGGGATAAAAAGGATGAAGGAACCGAATTTCTGGGTTCAAGTAAAGTCACACATGGGTCTCCTTATATGGGAACTGTCTATGAAGACTGTTTAAAACACAACCTTTAAAAGATAGGAACAAATATGCTTCAATATTTAGCTTTTGTCACGCAGGAAAGGAAGTACAACGTACAAGGTTTACTGCAGCAGGTGTACGCTGTCATGTAGCTCGTCAGTAGCTTGGAGGGAGAGCAGTAAACTTCTGTATTCAAGCCTTTTATTTAAATAAAAAGGTAGTTTAGACAGTGAAGCTTGAACAGAAATCTCTTGTCGGAGGAATCTGTAGCTACAAAAGGCTCTTAGTGGTCTAGGTGCAGCGCAGCCTCACTGTACACATCAGCATTGTGATCTTGTGTTTGTCTTTCCTGGAAATTTTACATTTTTAATTCAATTTTGAGCCCCAAAAACTAGAACTGTTACTAATTCCTAAGTAGGCGGTAAGTAAGTAGGGCGACTGTCAGACAGCAACATGTAAAACCGGCAGTGTTTACGGATTACAGTCCACGTGTGAACGGGGCTTAATTCATGTGTGGAAACTCTGCTCGACATGCGCTGGCAAAGAGCCGGCGTGCAACATTTAGGAGGGTCTGTGCCAGGTTTCTACCAGTAGCACCGCAGTCACCACAGACTGTCAATCTGCAACGTCACAGCTCGATGCCACTGAATCCTACAGACTGGTCCTTTAATGCAGTAGGAAGGTGTAAGTACGTGTTCTGCTGTTGCACTTTAAACACATTTAAGTTTTAATTCAACTAAGATTGAGTCAGAAAAATGTTTTTTTTTTCCAGCCCTGAACATCTGCACATGTAAAGTGCCTCGCTCATTGGCCTTTAAGACGGTTAAAGTTACACTATTTCAGAGGGTGGGATATTGAAGAACAGAGCTTCAAACAGCCACAGAAAACACAAAAAGGTGTTAAATCTTCCCGTTAGTTGACATGTTGTTGACATGTTGTTGACATGTTGTTGACATGTTGTTTGACATGTTGCAGTAAACACTCACACAGTCCAAACAACCACAGGGAGTTAAAGTGTCCACAAACTCTCACAACACTGGCTCATGAAGCATTTTTAATGTGGAGCAGGAGACTGCGTCCAGTAGTGACTCCTCTTCTTCATAAACAATCTTTGAAGAAGAAGAGGAGGGGGGGGGGGGGGGGGGGGTGCCCAACACGCACGTGGTGAAAGGGGTGGGACCGACCCCCACCCTTTGCTGTTAATATGTGGAGGCGTGGTCGGCAGCTACACGTCACCGACAGACATTCAAAGCTCACCACGAGCGTCTGAAAGCCTGTATACAGTTTGTTGTTTGTGTTGTTTTCACACGAGACGAACAAGCAGACGCGAGGGCACGAGGGTGTTTTAATTTACACGGGTTTTGTTTTTTTAAAAGCAGCAAATGATTGAGGAGCACAGATGCATGCAGGGAGGTGGTTGAGGGAGGAGGAGGAGGGGAGCCGTGAAAGCCAGAGTCACTTGATCCCCGGCGGACGATGTCAGGTCATTATGTAAAGAGAGCTTCCCCTGCGCCACCGCCCTTTATACCCCCCCACCTCCCCTCTTATGTTTGGGGTTTTAAATGTACCTTAAATGCCTCACAGCGGTGCAGGCAACTCATAAATATATAAATATACCGAGGAGGCAGGAAGGGAGCGGGTGTGTGAACTTTACAGCACTGTGCAGTTCACAAGGCTTTTCTCTGCAGCAGGTTTCAATGCAGTATGAACCCACTGATGCTGCAGCAGACCTGTGTGTGTGTGTGTGTTTGTCGCTGGTGCCCCCTGTGTGTGTGCATGTGTGTGTGTGTGTGTGTTGTTGGACAGCTTACGACTCAGGTTAACACAGGGTTACATGGAGCAGCTCTGCACCGCAAAGCGAATATGAAAGTAAAACTAAAAAAAAAATGTCCCGGACTGACTGACGCATATTCGTCCCAGGAGCTGGTTATATTTTGATTTAAAAGCAACCAACAAGGTGATTTTTAGACTAATTAGTTCATGAATGGCGCTGCTAGATCAACGGTACAACGCGGGTTTGTCTCAAAGTCGGACAATAAATCTTCCAGAGACACATTTCGCCGAACTGTTGAGCGTTTGAGATGTCCGAGTTAGCGATGTTGGGAAAACAAACTATATTTCTAATAAAAAATACCAACTTACCACGTGCTTTCTGTTGTTGCTGGGCTTGCAATTCCAAAAACTTGGCTGCTTCCAGGAGCGTTTCGATGCTCATGTCTGTCCAGTTGGAAACACTGTGGCTTAGATTTGTCAAGAGAGAAAAAAAAGGGCGATAAAGCAAGTGCAGTGTGCGCCTGAGTGCTACAGGGAGAGGGTTCCCAGTCTGGAGCTGGAGAGAAGGTAATCGGATACCCCCTCGGTAGAAACTACCACTTACGTAGGAGAGTTACAAACAAGATGGCGCTCAAAGTAGTGGGGAACAAATAAGGTTTGTGAATCACGCACCGTTTGTAACCGCCCACCGACACACACACACACACACTCCCTCCCAGGCAAAACATCAGAGAGAACATTAGAAAACACGGAGAAACTCGAGTTGGGACGGGATTAACGACGGTGTTATAAACAGTTGTTAGTATGTTTTAGTCAAAATGTAACAAAAACGTTGCCAAATAAACGGTCAGCTGGCTAACGGTCAGTCCGTGAAGTGTCGCTTAGCAACCGCTTTTAGCCAAACCTCGCCGCGTACGTGAACGTTACACGGCAGAGCTACTATCAGGATTTATAACGATTTATGGCTTTTAACAGCACTTATATTTTCTACTTGTGTGACATTAAATTAAAACCCAACGCCTCTATGTGGCTTGTTGCTGAAATGTCACCGTGGAAACGCTACGCTAGCTCCGACGGTTTCCCGGAGCCTGATATATTATATGTGTATGGTTACTACGTGAAGCGGCTCCGTAATTTACCAGTAACCATGACTGCGGTGGATTTACATCTCACTGATGTATCGTTCAACCGCCAATCAGCGAGAAGAACAACAAGCTATGGCGTCCGCACACATGGATACAGGCGGCGTATTGTGCCGCTGACAGTAATAAGGTCCGAGTAGCTCACATAATTATGTAAATAAATACACAAAGGCTGTGAGGCTCAAGATGAAGCCTAATTAAAGCAGCTGTGTGAGGGCTGGTGGGGGTGAGAGCATCATGTGCACAGGCAGCTGTCCTGCTTTATTTAACGTACTTAACTTATATATTAAACTAATTACTACTAATACTACTAATAACTAGTTACTACATAACGGTTCAGCGGGACATATCTGTCCTTTATTAGTTATACTAAATATAATCGACAAATAAGTTATTATAGGTTAAGATAAAAGTTTATTGGTCCCTGGGAGGAAGTTTCAGCTGCAGCACAACAGTGATGTTTATCAATGATTATATTTAATTATATATTATTCTAAAATGGTACTTTAAGAATATTTTTATGGCAGTAATTTTGTACTTTTTTTGTCGGTGCATATGTTTAACAAGACTGTCCATGTGAGTCAGTGTTTTTATTGTTATTACCTATTCTGGTCTTCTTAAATTGTGCCCCTGAAAAATTCCCCAAATATTATCAAAAACAAAACAAAAACTAATACTGAAAGTAATAAAAACTAAATTAAAACTAAATATCTTTAAACAATAAAAACTAAACTGAAACCAGAAAACTAACTGAATTACAAACCAAAAATAAAAATAAAAATTAATGAAAAATCTTCTAAAACTACAATTCTGAGTACTTCTTCCACTGCTGCACATATAACAAATGAGGGATAAAACTTCACTATTAAGTTGTAATTATAAAATATCTGATATTGTAAACCAAGCAGGTTTATTTTAAGAGTGAATTCAAATATAGATACTGTAAGTAGACACATGCTACCATATGAAACCTGACAGGAAAACACACTGGGTACTTTATATTAATCTTTCATTGAATGGATTAATTATTTATTCTATGAAATGTGGTTACTCAGAAAAGTGAGACTTGAAATTATTATTAGGTCCAGCTTATCTGAATGAAACTTCCTCTTTATGTTCAAATGACAGAGCATAAAGAAATAAGTACCTAAAGGCCAAGGGTTTGTTTCTTTGAACAGCATTTAAAGTTAAATGTTATATGAAGCCTATCAATAGGACACCAAGTTTTTAAAACTGATGTTGCTCTCTCTCTCTCCGTCTCACACACACACACAGACACACACACACACACACACACAGACACAGGCTGGTGGAGTCAAAGTCCTGGCATAACCGAGGGACATGTAGTACAAATAGGAACTATGTTTTTGCTTGCAACACACCAACAATGAATGTGCACGTACATACACATGACCCCGGGTATTTAGGTCTCTTTTCCTGTTATTCACTCGGCTCTCGTCAGGAAGTATGTCAGCTGCAACGGGGCAATAATAGTGGAGCACAACACCAGAAGGTTCTCCAGGCACAGGAAGGAGCGAGGGTCTCCAGGAACATCCTGAATTACACAGACTGTGCCAGCTGTCAAACCACATTGGGATTGATGTCTTATTGCCAAAGCCATTCATAAAGACAATGTCTAATAAAGTTACAACTAAAGGATAAAATCCTTAAAGATCCTGATATTTGATCCTCATAGAAGACACAAACACTGTCCTCATGTGGTCGTTAAAGGTACTGCACCATTACAACAACACTCACAGAGGCAATATGAAGGAGCAAACATGTTATAAAAATGTACATTTATTTCAACTTTGAGCACAAAATATCAATGTACAATATATGTTCTACCTTAAAAGGTAAACCGCCAAGTACAAGAAAATGAGATGATAAATGAATGTCACTGATTATCTAGTCCTTATCCTGAATAGATAAGGACTTGTTTCCTGTCTTCACTGTCGCCGTCTAACAAAAAGGTTAAAAAAAAGCCCAAATAATAAAAATAATCTACTGGAACAAACCTCCAGAGGTCACAGTGAATTAAACACTGTGTACAGTTACGCACAATGAATCATTTTAGCTGTTCAAAAACAAACAGGCACTCAATAAACATCTCTAAAAATAATCCGTGCTCGCTGTCGTGAATGATTAATATACCGTTTAAAAAAGAAAAGGACCCGTTCTTCTGATCATTCAGGACTTTGCAACAGACTTTAAAAGTGTGTTCTTCAGGTAAGTGCACAGTTGGTTCATCAGGTCTTTATTCTGACCCTCGACCCAGTGCATCTCAATCACTACGTCGACCTCCTCCAGCATCACGTTCAGCAGACACTTAAACAGGAAGTGTTCGACGCCACCAGGGCTCAGGGGTCGTTTGGAGGGCGGCTCAGTTGCTGCCGCAGGTGCTTCCTTTGGGACCGTTTCCTGCCCTGCTTCTGTGGAGATCGAGGACTCCATGTCCACGTCTTCACCTGACACCTTCTCTAAGACCTCTCGCTGCTCGCCAGTCGGGTCGCGTGTTACGTCTTCGCTCGTCTCATTTGAAGAGGCGCCGTTGCCGGTCTGCTCTGTGGGCTGCGGCGGATCAGCTCCCTTGTGTGCAGCCGTAGTTTTGTTTTGAGCGCCGTCGTTCTGGGTGTTGGTGTTTTGTGTGGAGGCGGACTGGTTTTGAGAGGCCGGGGTTGTGGCAGGAGCAGCTACAGCGGCCGCGGCGGGTTGAGACCTGGTTCCAGCACAGTGAGGCGCTCTGGGGAGCTCTCGCAACTGACGGGACCCTTCACGTCTCTTCTGTCGGCCGTGGATCCAAGTGTTCTCCACTGCCGTTAGAAAGAGGCTCTGCTCCTGCGTTCTGCACGGGACGCGTTTGTGCAGCACCTGCAGACCCACACACACAGAAGACTTATAATGAGGTTTATTGGAGATGTGTCATGTGTTTACACTGAGGTTACGGGGCACGGAGATCCTGAAGGAATAGTTAAACACCAGTAATGTCCCAGAGGTCTTCCTCCTTAGCAGTGGTGAAACGAGGACTAACCCTTTTTAAAGCTTACCCGTAGGTCAGTGAGGGTTTTCTCCAGCAGAGCAGTGATGCTGTCCACGGGGCTGCGGGCGCCACCGCCTGAAGCCGAGGCCTTGGCCTGGAGCTCCTTCAGTCCCGCCTCCGGTAGAGTGAACGACAGGGGCTTCCGCGCCTTCTCCAGTTTACGCTTCTTACTGGGAGGAGACTGAGATAAAAGAGAGAGACAATTGTTCAATCTGTGACAGAGAATATTCAGGACTCTTTAAAATACAAAGGAGACTAATTAAAAAGAACTTAAATAGTTAATTTAATAATAATTTCATAAAGAAACAGTCACAGACAAACTATAGACGTGTGCAAAGAACTAAATACCTGTGGTACCACAGTCAACAAGATTGATAAGCACGATTCATTCTGAAATATGAATGAAAATATTGATTCTAGATAAATTAGATAAAAATTACAATATTTGGGAATTTTTGTTCCAACCAAAGAAAACACAGAATTACATTCCTGCCCCTTTAACTTGAAAATATTTACAGCGTTTTCATTTGTTTCACACGTTGTTAACTTCACTACTTTCTTTTCTGTTACTTATTCTGCTCTTTTGTGTTTTTATGTTACATATCGAGGCACAGTGACTTAAAACGGCCGGTTGAGAAACCACAGTCAGAGTTTTCTCATGGTTTATATTTAACATCAGTGACAGTAGAAGTCCAAAAATGCTACGTTCAGAAAAAGGCCACAAATAAGACTCAATTATAATCTCAAACTCAGTTCTGTAACTACATTTTGTTTTTATTTTAGTTTTACAGGAAACATGTATGAACTCCTAAACAGTGAGGCATTTTATTAAGCTGTCAGTCATCCTTTGTTTGTACCCATGATTCTTCACCTCGACACTGCATTATCTTTCATTTCCGTTACTTAACAAAAAAGTGTGTGCACACAGACTGAACAGCACACATATTTAAGATATTTTCGTATCAAGCACTAGATACAATAAATCTTGTGTGTGTGAAAGCAAAAACAACAAATATTAACTGTAAATATTATAAGACAGATAGCTGACAAGAGGTGGACAAAACAAACCAGTCTTTACTATATTTATTTGTATATTTATTTGTATCTCACAGTGGATCTTTTTCCTTCAATCTACAACTTAAGGTAGTACCCTCTCTGAGTCTGAGTGACATACTACTAATCAATCACTTAACACTCAGTAACGAGGATACTGGAGGATAGATTCTGGTGACCAGTAATACCAGGCTTTCCTTTGGTAACAGCTTAGTATTATAAATAGGTTTTGACTAATAAAGGCTTATTAAGGGCCGTCCACACCGAGAACAACAACTATAACATTCAGACAACGATGTGAACGTCCACACTGATGAACGATAACGTGTTAGCAGTGGGCTTAACACTGTGTGCTCCCGCTGTGCTGGCAGCTTAGGAAAATGTACATATGGATGAGCTGTTGCTGCCGTACATCGCACTTCTTTATAGACAAGAGGAGTTCGGACAATCCGACACTCTGTTGTTACCAGACCGTTTGGTTGTAGGTCTCCACTAAAATTAGGTTTTTTTCAATGTCTGATTTGCAGCCTAAAGTGAAATCATACAAGCGTTATGAGTTGTATACCACAATACTGTTCATCAAATCACTCTGAAAAGTGATCCCAATCATATTGTTTGCCACCGTCATTGTTGCTATATTTGTGATGTGACAATCATGAGCTAGTTTCAATCAATGATTATTGATTTTATACTTCTGTGGTTTCTGTTTACCGAGCACACATTTATCTTACAGCTGTTACAAACTCTGCAGTAACTGTGTACAAAAATCTCTTTATCAACTACTTTCTGTCTTAAGTTCTCAAAATGTAACTAACGATGAACCGAGTTAATTGTCAGCTGCTCAGCAATAGTTACAGATCATTCCTCCTTATGAGCTGAAACTTAAAGCTGTGACGAGTATCTGCATGTCCATTACACACCACAGGAGGGCGCTCGAACCACACACAAGCCCACCCACCTGAACCTGCTGTGAATTCAACACCGTTCCTTATTCCTAATCCCCTCTAATGTCACGCTGTGATGGCGGTGGAGGTCATTACCCAACCGTGTCTGAACACAACAGCCGCTCTGCAGCTATTGTCCCCTACCCGTCCACCGCAGCCAATATGTCAACGCTGCTCTCGCAAAGTCACTGCAGGCTGCGAGTGGGGGGAGACGGCGGGGGTCTGCAGCCGCACTGCACTGACAGAGCAGACAGCATGGCCGACTGACCTACAAACAGCAGAGGGAAGGAGCAGACTGTGACCTTCACACCGCTACTCTGATCTGACAGTCAACTTTGATCACTTGATCATTTTAGTGCCTCGCTCCAGTTTTTGTTATTATAGTTTATAATATATTTGTTTTCACTTTCTCTGAAGGCTCTTAAAGAGTAGCAGAGGAATCTGAAATAAAGTGTAATAAACACATTCTTCCTGCATTTGCTTAATTTATATTGAAAAAAAGCTTCACTTCCAGTAAAAGGTTTTTCAATTTGGATCATGTATTGATTTCTAGTCCTTGTAGATGCATGTTTGGAAGAGATGGACGTATTTAATTAATGGGTTGACGATGGTCGCTGCCTCGTCTGGCTGCTTGTTAGAGCTTCTTTTATTCCTTATTGTTTCTCGCAGACGTCTCTCTCCCCTTTTTCCTCCACGCTCTGTGAGCCCTGCAGCACATTGTACGAGGAACGGAAATCAATAAAGTCCATCAAGCCAAACCTGTCTGTTTGTACGGAGCATCCTTGACACAGATTCACACACACACACACACA